ATATATATATCTCCTAATTAAAGCATATTTCTGCAGCATTAGGCCTACAGAAATGAACTAAACTGTCACCAGAGTGTCTTATTTAAGGAAAGGCTGCCTCTAATCACTGAATACAAAACTTTGGAACAAAAAACCAAGTACAGTTAGCAAGGACTGAACCACATATAAAGCAGGGCTTTGAAGAACATGTATCAGAAGGCACGAACTATGCCCCTATGAGGGCACGCTCTTATTCAAAATGCCAGCACTGAAGTTGAGCACAGTAAATGGCTTTAGGACGTATAGAATTTAAATTTTAAATGCAGATTTGATCTTTATGTGCTTTAAGTTCTCTTTCTACTCTGATATTGTATGAGCAAGTATTGTTGCGATTAGCCCTTTAAAAGATATAACCTCTTGGTAAGCCTATGTGCAAAACTGGCCATGTTTTTGGCTGGGAATGGGTTAGGAAAGATGTTTGTCACGCAAGCAGATGGAAGGGTAGCAAGGGAGGAGGCTGGGAGGGAAGCTGGAGGCAAAGCCGCTCCAGAAAGAGCGTGGCAATTTAAACAGATGGAGCATGATATACTAGTTGGCAAGAAAAGGTGCTGAGTGACAAGCAGGAGTCTCTTCTGAAGAACAGGGTATGTTGTGTAGGCAGCCGTGCGGTGACCACACTGATCATCAATAAGGGAAATAGATCAGTGCAAGGGCGCCTGAGTTCCAGAACAAAGAGTGAAAAAAACACTACAAAATTTCCCTTGAGTACTTGAGTTTAGGAAAATAACTTTTTATAATCTTTCTTTTTTTTTCTGTCTTTCTGAGACAGGGTCAGCTGGCCTGAAACTTGCTATGTAGACCAGGCCGGCCTCGAACTCATAGAGATTCGCCTGCCTCTGCCTCCCACATGTCGGGACTAAAGGTGTGCACCACCTCCCCCCCCCCAGCTCAATGACTTATTATAATCTTTAAAATTGCTTTAAATGATGATGTGCAAAATCTTTCATAGAGGAACCATTTTATTACAAAGTTCAGACAGAGATAACTATAAAATTATCATGGCCATAGAGATTCATTTTATTTTTGAGTTTTGTGTTTTCTGTAATTTGAATTTTTCTCCTTCTGTAGTGGAAACTGACTGGAAAAAATAATACTGAAATAAAATATACATAGGAATAGGAATTTTGACTCCCATCAAGTAGAGGACTGAAGAAAGGGTGCAAAAGGTGATCACACCATTATCATACCTGCCTCATTTCCTTCTGATCACACCATTATCATACCTGCCTCATTTTCCTTCTGATCACACCATTATCATACCTGCCTCATTTTCCTTCTGATCACACCATTATCATACCTGCCTCATTTTCCTTCTGATCACACCATTATCATACCTGCTTCATTTTCCTTCTCTACTAAAAGTGGTAATAGCCACGTGTCAGCTAACACAAAGAATGTGACTGTAAGTCTTTTTGCCCTGCTTTTGTCTTCAGACTCATCTACTCTGATCATCACCATATTCTTAGGCAATTATTCTAACTTTCAAAGACTTGGACTGTTGTGTATCGTACCCAAGCTTCTTTCGTTGACAACTGTCATTGTGGACTGGTATAAAATTGCCACATACAATAATATTTGTAGGAGAGGCTTAATACAACCAGTCTAACTGAACTTTAGATAGATGCATGTGTTCTAACTGGAAAAGATATTTTCATTTTCCTCCTACAAAAGGAGGAATTAACATTCTTTCATGTGTGTGAGGGCTCGAGTGATTTCCTTAAGCTAATGAACCTTTTATGGAAAAATCCCACATGTGCTAGGCACTCTGGCAGACTTTGAGGAAAAAAATCAGGGTGAATAAAGTATCAATAGTTCCTTCAGAGTTCATATTCCACTAGAATAATCATATATGTATAAATATAATATATATGCATATATATAAATATAATATATATACATATACATATATATATATCTCAATCTCTAAGGTACAATTAAGAAATTCAACAATATTTTTGTATTTGTATTTTTTTTATCGTGTGTGTACAACGTATGTGAGTGAAGGCACTTATGCACGTGGGGGTCAGAGGGTAACTCTCAGGACTGACTTCTTCCTGTACCATGGGATCCAGGGGTTTGAACTTGGGTATTCATGTAGGCTTACACCCCAACCATTTTATCCACTGTGCCGTAAAGTGTGGTCCAGGAAGGCCTTGAACTGATGATCCTTCTTCAGCCACAAGTTGAGGCTGGGGACCACACTAGTGTGTTAACTCAGTAGGTGTTTATTAGGACCTCCTCTGGTCAGTGGTGTGTAAATCGAAATATATCTGCTGTTGCTTTGCAGAAAACAAGTCTATCTCAACAAAGAGAAAAGCAAAGGACGCCGGCAAGACAAGCACACACACTAGTACAGTAAGTGAGTGTACGATGCTGGTCATTAGGATAAAAATCTTGAAAGAGAATTTCTTTGATAAGGCATCTGAAAGATTGGTGAACGAGTTTAAGGTGTTTATATAATGCTTTAGTCGCTACAGCTGTTGCATTAATGGTTCACACTCAGAAGAGACATGTATTCAGTGAGCCCAACTCAAAGAGAAACAAATTGTGTTGAAATGATAGTAAAGTCCACTACCTCAGTAATCCTCTCCAGAGGACTAAGGGCCTCCTATAGAGATGACAAGGCCATGATCTGGGGGTCACACTGCTACACATCTAAGCTCAGCACTGACATACCAATGTTTCTCTTCTAGGGACCCAAGCTCTTCCAAATTTTCTTGACTTTTTTGAGAAGGCTTCAAATTCCCATGTATCTGTCAATCAACAATATTCCAGACCCTTTTCGGTTAACTTAAATTCCCATGTGAAGTTAAAATTTAATTTTTATTAAGATATTTTTAGCCAGAAGAAAGTCAGGTATGATTAGAAAATAAGTACTCCATAAATGTAATCTAAGTATAAATTTAGACTGCTTTGCTCAAGTATGGGCAATTCCACTGAAAGATAAGGACTGAAACATACAGGTGGGTGGATCTCTGTGAGATCGAGGCCAGTCTGGTCTACATCACAAATTCCATCCCAGGCCAGCTGGAGCTACAAGGAGAACCTGATTCAAAAGCGAAAAAAAAAAAAAAAATTCAGCCCACGCACATCAATTAAATTTCATTTTTTTTGGTCTTTTTGAGACAGGGTCTCCCTGTAGCCCCAGCTGTCCTGGAACTCACTATGTAGACCAGGTTGGTCTTGAACCCACAGAGATCTGCCTGCCTCTGCCTCCTGAGTGCTGGGACTAAAGGCGTGGGCCACCACGCCCGGCTCAGTTAATTTTTGGTTCCTCTAAAATGCGTGTTACTGATAAGAATGCATTTTAAGATTTATTTATTTTTGTTTTATGTGCACAAGTGTTTGCCAGCACGTATGTGTGTGCACCATGTGCATGTAATGCCCGCAGAGGCTAGAAGAAGGCATCAAATCTCCTGGCACTGGAGTCACTGATGGTTAAGAGCTGCCATGTGGGTTTCGGGGACTGAACCCAGGTCCTCTGCAAGAGCAGTGAGCACCGTTGACCACTGAGCCCTCAAAATACTTTTTAGTGTCTTTTCCTATGGAAGATTTAGGGGGAACTTTTTCTCACTTTCTAACCCCCAGGTAAAATTCCAGGGCTAACCAGGGAAGTCTCCTACATACAACCAAAGACTGGAAAAGCATTGTTTCTGCTCTGCTGATCATGGTATCCCCAGCATCTACCACAATGCTTGGCCATAGCAGATGTTTGATAACTATGCTGAATAAAAGATCTTATCTTTGATTGTTGTAACAATGAATTCTTTTAGCTTGCACTGCCAAATTAGTAGATTTAGGGACTCATTGTGCTAAATGTACTTATCAAATGTAAGATGAATCTTGTAATAGTGGAACTTTTTCAATGACAAACATCTGTCTTCAAATGACTTAAACAAAATGATTTATTAGAAGGATATAGTACCATAGAATTGAAGGCTACATGAGAAAACTTTGAGAAGGTTAGGGTTAGGTTATAGCTAGACCTAAGTACATCAATAAAATGTGAATGCAGTGTCTCCAATGCTAGTGTGGGCTTCGGGCTCCATGAAGACCAACTTCGCTGTTTCAACATCTTCATATCCTGCAGCAGTCCATTTCCCCACCAGGGGCTATGCTTTCTAATACTTTGTTTGTAAGAAAGGTTATGCTGAGAATGTCTAGTTCTAGTCATTGAAATGAGCATGGAGGTTGCTAGTATATTGTTTTGAAGTTTTTAATATGAAAACATTAGATTTAAAACTTGAAAAGATATTCTGTCAAACAAATGTTCTGTAGCTATACTTATAAAAGAGAAATGTGTCTCATGTACAGTTAATGAATCTTAGAGATAAATGTAATAACATGTTTTACCTATTATTCACCATATTTTCAGCTCCCATGACAACAGTATTATTCTGCCTGCTCCTGAATTTTCTAGCATTTAGTCTATTGTTTTACATTATATGTCACTAAATATTTTCTATTAATATAATTACAGAAAGACATTTTTCAAATTACAAATTATTTATTTTTATATTACCCATATGAGTGTTTTGCCTGCATGTGTGTAAATGCCCCTATGGGTGCCGTGCCCACAGAGGTCAGAAGAGGGCATGGGATCCTCTGGTGCTGTAGTTACAGATAGTTATAAGCAACCACATGGGTGCTGAGTACCAAACTCAAGACCTCTGCAAGAGCGGCCAGTGTTCTGAACCGCTCAATCTCTCCAGCCCCGAAGTTATTGGCTCACATAAATAATTCACAATAGTTATACTGAAATAGACTATAATTAAGGAACTAGTAATGCTGAGGACATAGGTATGAGACAATTGGGTACAGTCCATGTTGTGACTTACTCATAAAGGACAAACTATAGGACACAAAATGATAAGAAATATATAGCACACAATATAAAGATTTTAACCCAGATTTAACTGGATCTGACTGGATCCAGTTTCGGTTATGTTCTTTAAAAATGGCTTTAGACTGTATGTGGTGGTAAGGCCTATAATCCCAGCATTCAGGAAGCTGAGGTAAGAGGATCCTGAGTTTGAGACTAATCCAGGTTGCATAGAGACTTAATGCCTCCCTTGGGTCACATAGTCAGACTCTCCAGAAAAGAAAAGAGAGAAAGAAAGGGAGAGTCTTACTTAGTACAATGTTTCTTTGCATCTATTGAAGATATTAAACGCAGGGAGAGTTCCTGTGTGGAGCAGAACCAAACAGAACTAATATAAAGATCCTGAGAAATGTGATGACCCGTGCCAGAATACTCAGCTGAAAGGGAGAACATGGCTCAATGTTTTCGCAGATATATTTGGATGAGACCTTTACAGGAAAGTATGAATACCAAATGTTGATTTTTAATAAATGTCATATTTTAACAATTTGGGTAGGATAAAAGAAAGTTCTTTGGCACAGTAATTATTTTGAGGCATTTAAATTGAAGAAAACCCCCACATATGTTTTTCTCTGTGCTTTCTAATACAGTAACAGAGAATGCTTGTGTGCAGAAATATGAATGCCTTTAAGTGAAACTCCTTTTTAAATTTTTTTAATGTATGGGTGTTTTACCTGCATAAATGTAAGTGCACCTGTGCATGCAATGCCTGCAGACAAAAGGGGGTGTCGAATTCCTTGGAATTGGAGTTACAGACAGTTATTAGCCACCGTGTGGGTATTGGGAACTATGCCCTGGTCCTCTACAAGAGCAGCCAAAGCTCTTAATCTCTGATCTATCTCTCCAACTCTGTAAAACCCTCCTTTAATTTCAATTGAACTTAAATGGATAATTCTCACAGTGAAGGAAAAATGTATTTGGCAATCCAAAATCTGATAATTAAGAACCCACCTCTCTAGTCTTTATTGGGAATAAGATGATACTGAATTCCTGGTGACTGAGTGGTGTTATTTAATGATCAAATATTTAGGCAGACATATAGAGTGAAAATGAGTATAAAGTCATAAGTATTCAAAAATTCAATAATAATATTAAACTTACAGTTTTTTTCTTAATTGTTCATTCAAGTTTAAGGTTCTTCATAGAATTACTCACTGAGTTTATGGAAAAAATGCCTTTAATGAATGAATTTTGCTTCTCTAATGTATCCATCTCAAGAAACATTCCTAAGAAACTTCAGTGAAAGAAAGTCATTTCTCTGTGATCAAATCCTGAAGACTTCTTAGACCTTACCCACAGAAGAACCATAAGAGAAATCATCTGAGCACTGATGAGGACATGGACAGCTGCTGAGACATGATCATCCTCAGTTATAAACTCAGTTCATCATGTGTCAGTGGGCAAACTGAAAATGCCTTGGTTGTAACCAGTGCAACAGAAATTTTATTGGCTTATAAAGAGTGTGTGAAGCTTGAAATACAGCGTTTGAATCTCCATCTATCATATGGGAAACCAATAAGGATTAAATTATCCCAGTGTGTTTAGATATGTAAATAGATAATAAATACAGAAAAATTATGACAATGACATTAGCTAACAACTAGGTAAATTAAGAACAATAAAAATGAAGATAATCAGTTCATCTTCATGTCCATTATCAAGCATTTCGAAGCCAAACTGCACACTGCCAAGTGTGTTTTGTTGACAGACAAAATACTATTAAATAATGAAATCAATAATTGAGAAATGGATGGACCAATATTTGCTCATCTTGCATTTTCTGCATGGTATTATGATGAGCACTTTGTGTATCTGTTAAATACACTGTACGAGAAGCTCATCAAATGTTTGATTCTTATATTTATTCATTTTGTGTGTGTGTGCGCGTGCGTGTGCGTGCGTGTGTGCATGTGTGTGTGTGTGTGTGTGTGTGTGTGTGTGTGTGCAGGTACATGTACAACATTCCAGGGTTGGCTCTCTCCTTCCACCCTGTATGTTCTGGGGATCAAACTCAGGTGGTCAGGCTTGACTTGGCAGCAAGCACCTTTACCTGCTGAACCATCTCACTGGCCTCCTCACCGAATATTTTAAAATGTGTTGCTAATGCCCAATACATCAATGTTGTTCATAAAATGACATTTTAGTCATATGTATGCTATATATGTAGTTGGTGAGACAATTCACAAAGAAATATAGTTCCTCTACTTATGGTTAGTATTAGGAACATAATGAGTAAGTTCAGTAAAGTAACATCAAAAGTGTGTGTTAGGATGAAAATTAAATGTTCTTCACAGGTAGTAAAAGTGATTATAGACAGATCAAGTTAATTTGAAGAATTCAATCATGTACTGTCTTTTGTTGTGATTTAAGATGAAGTTAGCAAGCGTCTGTGAACAGAATGGTTATGATAGAAGTTTGCACCCACATAGGGTGAATATGAAAGTCAGAGCACCATCCAGGGGCAATTAAAAAT